TAAGGCGAACGGCAGTTTTTCCCAAATCGGCAAATAAAGACACTCTGCCTGTGTACAATATGCCATTTGAAAGCCACTAATCAGCTTATTTAAGAATTGGCATCAGCAGCTATGAAGGAGGTAGACATTTTGAGAGAAATTGCTTTAAAATGGGAAAATGAACGACTACAAAAATGTATCAATCTTCTACTATATTAGGTATACCCCGGCCTAAACTATAGCTTATTTAGCACCTCTTAGTGCATAGCTTGATATGAAACAAGTTTTGCATTCCATTTCCATCCCGAAAAAGGAACTAAAAACTTCTGGGGGTTGTCAACCATGTCTTGGATGGGAGGGGGTCAAAATTTTATGACTTCAATGAGCAGATCTTCACAAGACAATTTTCATGGCAAAAATTCATACAAAATCTATCAAATACTCACAAAGTTGACGTTGTGTGCCAATTTGCACTCTTAGGGGGTAAAGGGTTAAGGAATCCGAGTTGAAAGTTGAACTGTCGAAGAGGGAAATTGGGAAGGGATTTACCTCAAGAAACAAGAACCCAAACAAAATTATTTTTGTTGAAGCAAAAGACGATACAAAGCGAGATGAAAGTACACAGTTTTAATGCTAAAACATTTCTTAATGTCGCACTACGAAGTAAACAATAATTTACAAAGCAAAATCTAAAATTGCGATACAGCAAGTGGTCCAGAAGGCATCCTCTGCAAAAAACAAAAGGCAAAGACAACACGAGGATTAGTACGAAGGACACGGAACACGTGAAATGCTTTTTTGTTCCATGTATTTCCACTCCTGTAATTTTCTTTATGATTTCAGCAATTGTTTAGTACCAAAAAAATCTGACATTACAGGTACCCTTTTGCCTCTTGTTAAAAATTGTCTCACTAAAACTACACCATGCACAACTGTTACTATGTACATGTATATACATGCATCTTTGGATTTATCTCTGGTACCGGAACCTTTTTTAGCCGAGACCATCGATAGCCGAGGGTCAGGTTCCTCTGATGCTTTTAACCCTGGGGAGTGAATGGTCTAATCCTAGGCATGGTGAGGGGGATGGGGTAAAAAAAAAAGCCTTTCGAACTGAAAACTGGTCCTTTCAGGTTACTTCCTGGATTGAAAATGTTGTAGACTTGCTGTTTTGAGATTGACATAGTTTTCGGAACTCCAGGCATTTATGGTTCGTAACAAATGAAGCTCTTCTCTATATCCTAACCAGGACTTCATGTTCAGCTCTCCTGGCTTGTCTCCATCTTTTCTTCAGCCAGTTCCTGGCCTGACATCTCAGATGATTCCTCATCATCGTCGTCTCCATCACCCTCCCCCTCTTCGTCTTCTTGGTCTTGTTGCTTCTCATAAGCTTTCTGTCCTGGTGTGACAATCACCCCTCCCCAGCTGGATACCTCGGTGTCTAATGCTGAGATGTTACAGAGTACACACATGCAGTAAGAAAAAACAGCCATTTAGATGGAATTTCAAAAGTGGGCGTCCACATTTTTAGGAAACAATAATATCATCAATCAATAGCCTGTTTTCAATACATTAAAATTCAGCTTAGAGGGGAGACCAAAAAAAAAAAACGCAAACAAAGGAAATTGTTTATTCTTTCCTGTTGTTAGTGTCCTAAAGGCCTCACTATAAAGCTGAGTTTTAATATATCAAAAGTAGCCTATTATTGATTTCAATTTAACAAAATAAATGTATGTGCCAACATGATTCAACAACTGTAAGATACAAAGTACACATGTTCTTACCAATCCTAATATTTCATTGTACGCGCCATGATTCAAGCATCGAAGAAGAGTCTGGGCACAAGTTGTCACTGCATCCTGAAAGTAATAACCATAAACAATCAATTACATGTTTTAAAGCACAGGCGACAGTGTAGGCTTGATAACTAGTTACATGCTACACATGTTGTCTGGGGGGTAATGAAGACAACAATAAAAACATTGATGAATATCAAACCTTCATGTCAGACCTTCATTGTCGCATTTACTTTAACTTCATTGACAAAGTAATACACATCCTTAGCACTGGATGATAAAATCTTCAGGTTTGTGGCAATGGAAAAAATGCAGACGTCCATGTACAGACCTGGGTGGCTCGGCATGTGCAAAACCAATAATCTACAGGTACACACTGCATGTGTAAGAGTACCATTCAATGAGCCCATTGTGAGGTGGTCATATTAATGTATGCCAATTTAAACAAAGATTGGCAGAGGAAATCAATTATCAAGCATTTAATACAGTTGAATGTCTGCTAACAAACACCACTCATAAGCAGAAACTAGCATGTAGTGAGTCACAGTTTCTGTTACATACTGATACGTGAACAATCTGTACTAGCACAACATTTGTAGCCTCCCATACATGTCATGTGGTAACCCCTCCTGAACTGAAATTTTTTCAGGTTCCAATGGCATCTGCTTACAAGATGTTCAACAAAAGGTTCAACTACATTGCAAGTTTCACAAACTCTAAAACGATCTTTTGTTTCGTACCTGCTCCTCCAGGCTTAGAACACTGTGGGCACGCACATTTCCTGACTATAACAAGGAAAGGGAAAATGTGTTAAAGCTGTGAGATGAAAAAAAAACATCACTCAAACGTGTACAGAACATCACTCAAACTTGTGTCTCTTGTAAAACAGTCTGAACAAACTTGTACAATGTAGTATTGTTGTACATACATTGTACTTGTGAGATTGGTGCAGTTAGGAGAGCTAAAAGCACACATCCAAGTACAGAGTAAACATATTACAATTACATTTACCTCACATGGGTCAATTATTCCTAAAGAACCTGGCAAAAACAGTCCCGCTGAGAGGAGCTGGAAGGCACGCCTGAGATAAAATGACAAAAATAGAGCTACAATCCACACTACTGTACATTGTACCAAAGTATTACACATACAAATGACAAATTAAACCACAGTATTCTTTCAAACATACATTTCTGTAATGAAATTTTGGTAATAAAGTTGTACACGTGCAAGGAAACTCTGCAAGTTGCAAGTGAGGCATTGTAAAAAAGTATTTCAGTGGTTTTCAGAGAAAATGCTCTTCACATGCTTGTGACATTATTAATACTGTGATCATGATCCATATTGCTGGTAACTCAGAGGAATTAAAAGTTAGCAAGGAGGCAAATACAGTAGCATAGTGCACATTTATTTGTGTTTTGTTACCTAGCTGTTTTAACAAAACAAGAGAAATTTCTGCTCTTACCTAAAAGCAACATTGACTGGAAGAGGTTGTCGAGAAGAATTCACCATAGCAGCACGATGGGCCTACAAGGTATAAGTTAAAGCACAAAATTTTTTGTAGAACTATACATAAACATTTCCTGGAAAGCTCAATTCAATGTCAATGTCAATCTCAATTCAGTAGCAATTGCATAGTGACTCTCTGTTAACAGATTTGATTTACACTCAACAGTTTGCAGTGTAACATCTTTCACATTTTCTATTTTTTTTCGTATTTATTGAGCTCTCAATATTACATATCAGACTTTAATATTTGACCAATATTGACTGGACTTACAAGCAAGTCTATAAGCCATGGTGTGAGACCCTGTAATCCTGTAAAACGTTTTCTAAGGTCTTTAAAAAGTCTCACCAACAGACGGGTACTGAAAAGGAAAAAAAAAATCAATTATTAATTTAGTACCAATTATAAATAACTGTTGGCTCATGTTGCCAAAGGAACCTGTTTTAGTCAAAATCTACATACAAAACACGACAGTCACATGCGTACAAACTCTACCTTGTATGAAAAGCATTTTCTTCAAACCAGCGAGCATGTCTAATTGTTGCCAGCGCTCCTTCTAGAAGCTTCACATCAACTGTCAAAAGTGAAAACAATATTTAGTTTTTTAAATACCTTTGGAATACTATACTGGTCACATCCACAAGCCACAGCACATGTGCATCTATCCCATGGCTGCTTGTTTCCTTCCAGACTGACGTACACATTCACTACCTCACCAGACAAACAATTTGGAATTTGTGTGCCACTTCACATACATGCACATGACTGTAATTCTATCGTACAATGCTGAATAATATGTGTAGCCTTGCATGCTAATATGGTCTATGACAGTTCACTTACCATGCTTTGTTGGGTCAGCATCTCGGAGATTTTTGGGAAGTGTTGTGATCAGTACACGAACAAGGGCACCCTCAGGACTGCTTATATTGAATCCTTGACACAGAAACAAAAAAGAAAATCATCCTATTAGGTCAAGTTATGACATTGGCTACAGCTACACCCTGTAGTCACCTAATTTCTTTCACTCTTCAGACTCTGTACATCTAACTGACCTGGAGGAAGGAGCGCCCACTCATTCAATTGCTGTGGGCTTGGATTATTTTAATTATAATAATTAAATACATTGAGCACTAAGTGGATACCTACCACCCTCATTTGACTGCATTGGATAATCTGCCAAAAATGAAAAAAAAAAAAAAGATTAACAAGGTTCTACAAACCATAATTCATGTACAGTGGACATGTGCTGCACAGTGAACAAGCTGTGCACACATTACAACTTGTATGTAAAGGTAACAGAGGCACGAGCCATTTTAATACAAACATGATTAAAATAATCTGATGAAGGGAACAGGGAAAGAACTACAAATACAATACATGGGTCTGTACATGCATTGCAATAATTGTAACATTGTTTATACCTGCTGATGCACCATCATCCTTTAATGATTTCTGCACTCTTGTTGCCAGAGCAAGAATATCACTTTCTGTTAACAAAACAGATATAAAGACCAGCAAGTAAATAACAAAATTGATGAAAAGTTTAGTGTACAATGTACATTGTATTGGACTTCCTAGACAGTAACTAAAGATGTACATGTAACCTATCACTTTTCCACAGCCAAGAAGATTTCTGAAAGCAACACAAAATTTAACAAGATGAATCTAAATGTTTTTTTCATCTATGGCCTCATATCATTTGGCTAGTGTTATCTGTAGAACATTTCTATGAAACAGCAGAGCTGGAAATTACAATTAGAATTCAGCTATTGCATATATTCAAATATTGTAATTGACCCTAGCATGGATTAGAGGGCTTATTTCATTTGCATACCTGATGGCAACTTTTTAAGAATTACAGTCAAATCAGCAACTGGATGACCAAGCAGCATTGTTCCTTTTTTGTGTGAGCCTACAGCACGAACCTCTTCTAAACCCTATAAGGAAATAACTACACTTGAATGAGGGTTCATTATGGTACTCATGTTCTTCACACTGTAATGCTGTAATACACAGGCCACATAACTACATGTACATGTGTTTATAATACTGACAGTAATCAAAGATTAGAGCAGCGCATTCACGCGCATACTTTGCATGTTTGGTCAACTTTGGTGGCATTCAAGTGGTTGGATAAAAAATTAACTTTGATTGAATGACAGATAACAATCTGTACAGGAGGCTGACTAGCGATGAATAAATTTATAACCTGCTGTAAAAGTGTTTTTAATAAAGTATTAACTTGTACTAGACAAAATGTTTTCCAGAAAAGCCATTTTTTTAACTGTTGGCCACACTTACTGCAGCTTCAATTTCAGATAATCAACACTTGTACCAAATCTCTCTTGCATAGAAAATAAAGTTTTGAACAGTGACCGGCCCTGCACAACAGCGCGTTGCCAAATGTCTAGATTTTGTCAATTTTACCCACGTGTTTGTATTTTTTTGCACTGCTTGAATTTACATCATTCTTGTTTTTGCAAACGAAAAAGGCAAATAAACCATTCTGACCAAAAATCACGACCTTTACACAAGCTACCAAACATGGAAAGTTTGTCTTGTGGCAGCCAATTACGGCCACAACAAATTTGCAGAGCTACTCTGCGAGCTACACAACTCGGAAGATTTGTTTTCTGACCACAAATCATGGTCATTTGCCATCACCAAGCTAGAAAATATTCGTTTCCCATGATGCAGGCTTCGATACTTGTTGCCAAAGGCAAGCAGGCCAAAATCACAGTGCTAATATGCAAACTACAGCTTTGCAGAAACCATACAATCTACATAGTGCACATGACTGGTCGTGACTCTGTTCATGAGCTCATTATGCAGTTTGACCCTCCTGTGGGGAGGCCAAATCAGTGAACATGGTCGTCCCAAAAAAATCTAGATACCAACTGGATTAGGATTGTGTTACACTACGTGAACCCAATGAAGGACAAATCACACTTAAAAATATCTTTACCAGTTCAGCTGCATCTGGTGTAACAATCAAATTATCTAAAACTGTTGTCACTTTGGTCACAAGATTTTGAACAGCAGCCTGAAAAAATTATGCAGAAAATAAATACCACGATTCAACAATAATATTGAACTGTACATAAAGCTCTACAGATACGCACAATATGCAGTCAGGATTGTTGAGTTGAATTTTAATTGCTTTTACAGTTTGACAATGACTTGATAAAACATAAAAAAAAAAAACAAAATTGAAACTCATCATGATGCAACACTTGATTATACACCAATATTAAATTATTTACTAGGGTATCTAAAAGATAGTAATGCTGCGGCACATTCTGTTGATAGTGACATATTTTTCGCAGTGATTCATCAACAACTTCAAGCACGATGACACATCAATGGCGAAGTGTAAGAAGCGATTGTGACAAAAAGCACATAGTAATCTGAACTATGTCTAGACATAAAACGATACACATCAACGTCCCCTTTATCAGATCGCGAAAGTTGAAAGATGTGGAAATTGTAGGAGCAGAAACTTAACTTCTGTACTGATATGCATTAAATGTCTCTAGAATGTTGACAGACTCTGTCGAGGACGCGTCCATCGCGATGTGTGAAAATGCCAAAGCTTCAGCTTAAATTCATGTTTGGATGAAAAGGAAGAGATCGCGTATATGAAGTTAGCGTGTTTTACGGTTTTCGTTTGTTTTAATTATTCTACAAGTTTTAGTAACGACGATTTCTCTTAATTTAAGCATTCACCCAAGGTGGCGAGACTGCTAAGAAATGACATACTAATTTTAGAATTAAGATACCAATTTCGATCTAGTAAAATTCAGCCTAAAACAATAGACCTCAGCATGAGACTCTGGGGAATAAACCCCTTTCAATCTCTGTAGTTATTCCCCAGAGACTTGTACTGAGGTCTGTTGTTTTAGGCTGAATTTTAATGTGTCAAAATTGGACTATTAATTGTCCAGATTTACAAACTTTCACACTCTACATTAAGAGCAAAAGCAAGAGTTGTGAAAGTCAAGCACGATCTCCTTCACAAGTTAATCAGACCAAAACATAACCACTAATCTTTCTCACTGGAATCCAAGCGAAAAAGGCGAAAAAGGATGACGGCTCGACGTCCCAACCTCGTGTTGTTCGTGGTGCAATGCACTCTGGTAAAAAGTGGTGCAGTGCACTCTGGTTAAATGCAATGCATTCTGGTAAAATGTGATGAATTCGAGAATTCGTACTCCCTTTTATATATTCTTCTTTAATCCTGATTATGTTGCTGCTCGCTCATTACGCTCGCTCCGCAGCAATCAACTGGATTACATGTGTATTTTCCTTGAATGTTGTCCATTCATCTAAAAACAATTATGCTATACATGTATATCAGTTTATCACTGTTTATAATCTGTTACCTGTTCCTGTCCACTGGGAGTTAACTCTTGATTTCTTTTCAGAAGAGCCTAATGATATAAAGATACATTGAATAATACAGTACACTAAGGTNATATCAAAAGTAGCCTATTATTGATTTCAATTTAACAAAATAAATGTATGTGCCAACATGATTCAACAACAACCTCCTCAGAGTCCTATCTGTGTATTTCTACATGTACATGAAAATTCAAGATCAGCTGCTTCTGTTCATTGGACAGTGTTAAACTACTTACCAACTGGAGGAATTCCTTCCTGATTCTAAAGAGAAAAAGGGCAATAGAAAATAACGAATACAAATTTTAAATTTAAACATACCCTTGATACCAGCTATAATAAAAGATAAGGTTAATTATTCCTTTGGCCATTAACACACTAGACATGCATTTAAGCATCAGTAAGATACAAAGTACACATGTTCTTACCAATCCTAATATTTCATTGTACGCGCCATGATTCAAGCATCGAAGAAGAGTCTGGGCACAAGTTGTCACTGCATCCTGAAAGTAATAACCATAAACAATCAATTACATGTTTTAAAGCACAGGCGACAGTGTAGGCTTGATAACTAGTTACATGCTACACATGTTGTCTGGGGGGTAATGAAGACAACAATAAAAACATTGATGAATATCAAACCTTCATGTCAGACCTTCATTGTCGCATTTACTTTAACTTCATTGACAAAGTAATACACATCCTTAGCACTGGATGATAAAATCTTCAGGTTTGTGGCAATGGAAAAAATGCAGACGTCCATGTACAGACCTGGGTGGCTCGGCATGTGCAAAACCAATAATCTACAGGTACACACTGCATGTGTAAGAGTACCATTCAATGAGCCCATTGTGAGGTGGTCATATTAATGTATGCCAATTTAAACAAAGATTGGCAGAGGAAATCAATTATCAAGCATTTAATACAGTTGAATGTCTGCTAACAAACACCACTCATAAGCAGAAACTAGCATGTAGTGAGTCACAGTTTCTGTTACATACTGATACGTGAACAATCTGTACTAGCACAACATTTGTAGCCTCCCATACATGTCATGTGGTAACCCCTCCTGAACTGAAATTTTTTCAGGTTCCAATGGCATCTGCTTACAAGATGTTCAACAAAAGGTTCAACTACATTGCAAGTTTCACAAACTCTAAAACGATCTTTTGTTTCGTACCTGCTCCTCCAGGCTTAGAACACTGTGGGCACGCACATTTCCTGACTATAACAAGGAAAGGGAAAATGTGTTAAAGCTGTGAGATGAAAAAAAAACATCACTCAAACGTGTACAGAACATCACTCAAACTTGTGTCTCTTGTAAAACAGTCTGAACAAACTTGTACAATGTAGTATTGTTGTACATACATTGTACTTGTGAGATTGGTGCAGTTAGGAGAGCTAAAAGCACACATCCAAGTACAGAGTAAACATATTACAATTACATTTACCTCACATGGGTCAATTATTCCTAAAGAACCTGGCAAAAACAGTCCCGCTGAGAGGAGCTGGAAGGCACGCCTGAGATAAAATGACAAAAATAGAGCTACAATCCACACTACTGTACATTGTACCAAAGTATTACACATACAAATGACAAATTAAACCACAGTATTCTTTCAAACATACATTTCTGTAATGAAATTTTGGTAATAAAGTTGTACACGTGCAAGGAAACTCTGCAAGTTGCAAGTGAGGCATTGTAAAAAAGTATTTCAGTGGTTTTCAGAGAAAATGCTCTTCACATGCTTGTGACATTATTAATACTGTGATCATGATCCATATTGCTGGTAACTCAGAGGAATTAAAAGTTAGCAAGGAGGCAAATACAGTAGCATAGTGCACATTTATTTGTGTTTTGTTACCTAGCTGTTTTAACAAAACAAGAGAAATTTCTGCTCTTACCTAAAAGCAACATTGACTGGAAGAGGTTGTCGAGAAGAATTCACCATAGCAGCACGATGGGCCTACAAGGTATAAGTTAAAGCACAAAATTTTTTGTAGAACTATACATAAACATTTCCTGGAAAGCTCAATTCAATGTCAATGTCAATCTCAATTCAGTAGCAATTGCATAGTGACTCTCTGTTAACAGATTTGATTTACACTCAACAGTTTGCAGTGTAACATCTTTCACATTTTCTATTTTTTTTCGTATTTATTGAGCTCTCAATATTACATATCAGACTTTAATATTTGACCAATATTGACTGGACTTACAAGCAAGTCTATAAGCCATGGTGTGAGACCCTGTAATCCTGTAAAACGTTTTCTAAGGTCTTTAAAAAGTCTCACCAACAGACGGGTACTGAAAAGGAAAAAAAAAATCAATTATTAATTTAGTACCAATTATAAATAACTGTTGGCTCATGTTGCCAAAGGAACCTGTTTTAGTCAAAATCTACATACAAAACACGACAGTCACATGCGTACAAACTCTACCTTGTATGAAAAGCATTTTCTTCAAACCAGCGAGCATGTCTAATTGTTGCCAGCGCTCCTTCTAGAAGCTTCACATCAACTGTCAAAAGTGAAAACAATATTTAGTTTTTTAAATACCTTTGGAATACTATACTGGTCACATCCACAAGCCACAGCACATGTGCATCTATCCCATGGCTGCTTGTTTCCTTCCAGACTGACGTACACATTCACTACCTCACCAGACAAACAATTTGGAATTTGTGTGCCACTTCACATACATGCACATGACTGTAATTCTATCGTACAATGCTGAATAATATGTGTAGCCTTGCATGCTAATATGGTCTATGACAGTTCACTTACCATGCTTTGTTGGGTCAGCATCTCGGAGATTTTTGGGAAGTGTTGTGATCAGTACACGAACAAGGGCACCCTCAGGACTGCTTATATTGAATCCTTGACACAGAAACAAAAAAGAAAATCATCCTATTAGGTCAAGTTATGACATTGGCTACAGCTACACCCTGTAGTCACCTAATTTCTTTCACTCTTCAGACTCTGTACATCTAACTGACCTGGAGGAAGGAGCGCCCACTCATTCAATTGCTGTGGGCTTGGATTATTTTAATTATAATAATTAAATACATTGAGCACTAAGTGGATACCTACCACCCTCATTTGACTGCATTGGATAATCTGCCAAAAATGAAAAAAAAAAAAAAGATTAACAAGGTTCTACAAACCATAATTCATGTACAGTGGACATGTGCTGCACAGTGAACAAGCTGTGCACACATTACAACTTGTATGTAAAGGTAACAGAGGCACGAGCCATTTTAATACAAACATGATTAAAATAATCTGATGAAGGGAACAGGGAAAGAACTACAAATACAATACATGGGTCTGTACATGCATTGCAATAATTGTAACATTGTTTATACCTGCTGATGCACCATCATCCTTTAATGATTTCTGCACTCTTGTTGCCAGAGCAAGAATATCACTTTCTGTTAACAAAACAGATATAAAGACCAGCAAGTAAATAACAAAATTGATGAAAAGTTTAGTGTACAATGTACATTGTATTGGACTTCCTAGACAGTAACTAAAGATGTACATGTAACCTATCACTTTTCCACAGCCAAGAAGATTTCTGAAAGCAACACAAAATTTAACAAGATGAATCTAAATGTTTTTTTCATCTATGGCCTCATATCATTTGGCTAGTGTTATCTGTAGAACATTTCTATGAAACAGCAGAGCTGGAAATTACAATTAGAATTCAGCTATTGCATATATTCAAATATTGTAATTGACCCTAGCATGGATTAGAGGGCTTATTTCATTTGCATACCTGATGGCAACTTTTTAAGAATTACAGTCAAATCAGCAACTGGATGACCAAGCAGCATTGTTCCTTTTTTGTGTGAGCCTACAGCACGAACCTCTTCTAAACCCTATAAGGAAATAACTACACTTGAATGAGGGTTCATTATGGTACTCATGTTCTTCACACTGTAATGCTGTAATACACAGGCCACATAACTACATGTACATGTGTTTATAATACTGACAGTAATCAAAGATTAGAGCAGCGCATTCACGCGCATACTTTGCATGTTTGGTCAACTTTGGTGGCATTCAAGTGGTTGGATAAAAAATTAACTTTGATTGAATGACAGATAACAATCTGTACAGGAGGCTGACTAGCGATGAATAAATTTATAACCTGCTGTAAAAGTGTTTTTAATAAAGTATTAACTTGTACTAGACAAAATGTTTTCCAGAAAAGCCATTTTTTTAACTGTTGGCCACACTTACTGCAGCTTCAATTTCAGATTATCAACACTTGTACCAAATCTCTCTTGCATAGAAAATAAAGTTTTGAACAGTGACCGGCCCTGCACAACAGCGCGTTGCCAAATGTCTAGATTTTGTCAATTTTACCCACGTGTTTGTATTTTTTTGCACTGCTTGAATTTACATCATTCTTGTTTTTGCAAACGAAAAAGGCAAATAAACCATTCTGACCAAAAATCACGACCTTTACACAAGCTACCAAACATGGAAAGTTTGTCTTGTGGCAGCCAATTACGGCCACAACAAATTTGCAGAGCTACTCTGCGAGCTACACAACTCGGAAGATTTGTTTTCTGACCACAAATCATGGTCATTTGCCATCACCAAGCTAGAAAATATTCGTTTCCCATGATGCAGGCTTCGATACTTGTTGCCAAAGGCAAGCAGGCCAAAATCACAGTGCTAATATGCAAACTACAGCTTTGCAGAAACCATACAATCTACATAGTGCACATGACTGGTCGTGACTCTGTTCATGAGCTCATTATGCAGTTTGACCCTCCTGTGGGGAGGCCAAATCAGTGAACATGGTCGTCCCAAAAAAATCTAGATACCAACTGGATTAGGATTGTGTTACACTACGTGAACCCAATGAAGGACAAATCACACTTAAAAATATCTTTACCAGTTCAGCTGCATCTGGTGTAACAATCAAATTATCTAAAACTGTTGTCACTTTGGTCACAAGATTTTGAACAGCAGCCTGAAAAAATAATGCAGAAAATAAATACCACGATTCAACAATAATATTGAACTGTACATAAAGCTCTACAGATACGCACAATATGCAGTCAGGATTGTTGAGTTGAATTTTAATTGCTTTTACAGTTTGACAATGACTTGATAAAACATAAAAAAAAAAAACAAAATTGAAACTCATCATGATGCAACACTTGATTATACACCAATATTAAATTATTTACTAGGGTATCTAAAAGATAGTAATGCTGCGGCACATTCTGTTGATAGTGACATATTTTTCGCAGTGATTCATCAACAACTTCAAGCACGATGACACATCAATGGCGAAGTGTAAGAAGCGATTGTGACAAAAAGCACATAGTAATCTGAACTATGTCTAGACATAAAACGATACACATCAACGTCCCCTTTATCAGATCGCGAAAGTTGAAAGATGTGGAAATTGTAGGAGCAGAAACTTAACTTCTGTACTGATATGCATTAAATGTCTCTAGAATGTTGACGGACTCTGTCGAGGACGCGTCCATCGCGATGTGTGAAAATGCCAAAGCTTCAGCTTAAATTCATGTTTGGATGAAAAGGAAGAGATCGCGTATATGAAGTTAGCGTGTTTTACGGTTTTCGTTTGTTTTAATTATTCTACAAGTTTTAGTAACGACGATTTCTCTTAATTTAAGCATTCACCCAAGGTGGCGAGACTGCTAAGAAATGACATACTAATTTTAGAATTAAGATACCAATTTCGATCTAGTAAAATTCAGCCTAAAACAATAGACCTCAGCATGAGACTCTGGGGAATAAACCCCTTTCAATCTCTGTAGTTATTCCCCAGAGACTTGTACTGAGGTCTGTTGTTTTAGGCTGAATTTTAATGTGTCAAAATTGGACTATTAATTGTCCAGATTTACAAACTTTCACACTCTACATTAAGAGCAAAAGCAAGAGTTGTGAAAGTCAAGCACGATCTCCTTCACAAGTTAATCAGACCAAAACATAACCACTAATCTTTCTCACTGGAATCCAAGCGAAAAAGGCGAAAAAGGATGACGGCTCGACGTCCCAACCTCGTGTTGTTCGTGGTGCAATGCACTCTGGTAAAAAGTGGTGCAGTGCACTCTGGTTAAATGCAATGCATTCTGGTAAAATGTGATGAATTCGAGAATTCGTACTCCCTTTTATATATTCTTCTTTAATCCTGATTATGTTGCTGCTCGCTCATTACGCTCGCTCCGCAGCAATCAACTGGATTACATGTGTATTTTCCTTGAATGTTGTCCATTCATCTAAAAACAATTATGCTATACATGTATATCAGTTTATCACTGTTTATAATCTGTTACCTGTTCCTGTCCACTGGGAGTTAACTCTTGATTTCTTTTCAGAAGAGCCTAATGATATAAAGATACATTGAATAATACAGTACACTAAGGTTCAACAGATACCAGTCACTAATTAACAAATAGACCTGTTCCATGTTGCCATTCTTCTGTTCAGTGATAGATTACAGATGAAATCAAAATGTGGTAA